GTCATATGGTGTGATCCCAAGTCATATGGTATGATCCCAAGTCATATGGTATGATCCCACGTCATATGGTATGATCCCAAGTCACATAGTATGATCCTAAGTCATATAGTATGATCTCAAGTCATACTGTCTGCTATTGGAGCCTGGTTCCACAATGGTGGACTAGATGGTCCAACCATTTCAAATAACAATGGTCACATATTCATTCTGCATGCAGAGACAGGTGACAGCTATAACTCGTCCTCAAGCTCATGTGGTTCCTACTGAGTTTGTACACACACACTTATTTTTCAACTTTGATTTGATGGCTTTTATGTTGTCCGTCCTTTCTAAAATTTTCAATTTCTATAGTTTAACGAAATCTGTAGCATGACTTATCAGATTTTGTACTCTGTGCTCGATTGCACTGTAGACATTGGTCGACAGCTCATCCTGCACAAACACATGTGCACAGCCATGATGTAGTTGGTTCCCGGCTTGTTATGAACAACTTACTATTCATACAATCACTGCAATGGTTTTGGGGAAGGGGTGGGGAGAGTTGCCCTACCGTTGAGCTGCCTCCTGGCGGTGGGCGGGAGTCTTCTTCAGAGCTGGTGTGGGTCGGCCACTGCCGGAGGGCAGTCTGGGGGTGACCAGTGGTGAAAATCCACTCAGTCTGCTGGAACCAAACACAAGCAAATGCTGTTAACTTGTGTGATTCCTACATTTCAAGTTTCTTACTGAGAGCAACACCAAAGTCGGATTATGCACCCAAAGTGCAGAAGTTTGACTGAAGGAGAAAACGCAAGTCAACGCCCCGGGGTTTTGGTCCAGTGACATTTAAAGACTGACGAAAAGATAAACTGTCAAATACTTAACCTGTCAAAAAAGTTGGGCCATAATTTTCTTTAGTTTTTTAAAGAATGATGGAGAATGGAAAGAAAACACAAAGAAAAAGTAACCTTTGCATGATCTTGACTTTCATGACATTTCCATGACTTTTTCTGACAGTAGGATTCAAGAATGCCAACTTTCCATGACTTTCCAGGGCAACTTTTTTCCAGGATTTTCCATGACCATGGCAACCCTATTTAATGTAGCCTTCGGCCGTTCCTGCTTTACCTGCTCTCTCCCCCTCCGGTTGTCTGCTGTGCCTCACTGTCTTCCGCTATGGAAGACTCCTCTTCCGTTGGCTGGTCAGGCGGGACGGCTTCACCGCCCTCACTACTAGGGTCCAACACCGTGGAGTCGGGCACCCTCCTGGTCCCGCCGGGGCTGCCCTCCCGCTGGCTGGGAATGGAAGCTTCCGGCTCCCTGCCAGTCCATGTGGAGTCAGCTGCTTGCTTGCTAGTGGATTCTGGGCTGGTGCGGTCTGCGGGGGGTGTTGCCTGGGAGGCAGGGGTGGTGCTGGGGGTGGAGGCCGTACTAATGGCCGAATCTGGATGTGCTTCCTGGAACATAGAACAATATCAAATTTGGAAAAAATGAAACTGAATTCAGATGCTACGGAGAAAAAGTTAACCAAACTTTAAATAATCGATTAATCTGATGACAAATCACAATTGATCAATTGATATCGTCCATATGAGGGTTTTGGAAGCAATAACTTGTGATTGTGCCACCACATCAAAAGATAAGTCTCCAAGAAAATCTCCACAGCTTTCAAATCAAGACCTAGCTGTGGCTACCGTGTGCTTCAAAGTCTCTCATCTAATACCTCCATATTTATCACATGTATTTCACCTACCTTCTCCATTCATTCTTGCAGGCCGTATACAAGCTTTTTTCCCCTGGAGAGCCCACTAGGCTAACTAACTCCAGATTTTACAAAGCCTGTTCAGATTCTTGCTAGCTGTATATTTTTGCTTGCCTATGTTTTGTGTGTACCAGCACATGCGCATGACATACTATCAATTAACCTTCAATCTGAAACGTACTTGTTGAGACAAAATGGAATTATTTCAAACAGTTGACAGATATCTGACCTCTTCTCTTATGCTTTCATCTTGGGGCTCTCCAGCATCGTCAGGTACATCAGCAGTCTCCTGTTCTTTTGCTTCGTCCTCTTTATCATCAATGTCTCCCTGGGTGTCTTGTAGGTTTTCCTCAGACTCGGCCAATTCCTGGCTCCCATCCCCTGCATCCTCTGAGATGCTCTCCTGGACGTCTTCCGTTTCGGTGACGTCGCCAACCTCACCCGCCTCTTCCTCCTCCTCCTCGGTGTCCCCACCCTGCCTCTGCACCAGCCTCTCCTGGATACCGGTCGCGAAGTCCTCACTGCTGACTTGCTGTCTCTTACGGGCATTTGTGGCCGGGGGCTGTGACTGGTTGGTTGTATCTGTGGGCTCTGGAACAAGAGGTGACAGTGATTCCCTGCAGAAACAAAGAAAGCACAACTGTGTATTGTCATTTCAATTTGCAACATTCCTAATTGAAAAATTCTATTATAAGGTCCTTATTAAAAAAATTGCTTTAAACATGAAATTGGGCAAGAGGATTTGACGAAATGAAGTATATTGCCCGAAAAAACTAGTTTTAGCAAAAACAGTAAGGAGCCCATTCTTGTTCTTTCTAGCTCAGATTAGGTCCTCAGAGTAGTTGCCAAAAATTTTATGAACATTTATCCATCAAGACTGAAATCCTCCTTAGGTACACATACACATATCCAAAGCTGTGCTTGCCTGCCAAAAAAGTTGTCCAACTAGAAAAGTCAAAAGACAACTGCTTTCCAAATTCCTTGATATCTCACGAAAAACTGAACCATAGCACTAAAATAATCTCCCTTTTGTGCCATCAACTCAAAAAAGTCCAACTCGCAGATCTTCTTGGATTCATCCCACAAGACTATGATTAAAGTCTGGTTCATACATAAAGGACAAAAGTTGGACAGATTTCAACTCCGGCAAAATTTTACTTCAAATTTGAGATAGCTTAGTCAAAAACGTCTTAATGTAGCAGACAATGCACAGTTACACTTTGCACGTTCTCTGGCTCTGTTTACTAAAAGATGCTTAGACAAGCAAACAGAAATGCACGGTAGCGTACTTGTTAGCTCTGCCCTGAAGTGCTTCTTCAACATCAGGGAAATCAGTGGGGTTCAGACTTGATGACCTCCTCACATGAACTGCTGGAGTCTCAACAGGGGCTGGGGATGGAAAAGACGCGATTAATCACTGCCTTTGGAGCCAACTTCTTACTTCAGGATTCAAATTTTCCTACTTGCATGGACCCTAGATGTGAAATAGACACTGGTGAGACTTGAGTGAGTCCATTCTGCCTACTTGAGTAACAGTAATGGAGCGTTGACATTTAGCTGCCCAATTAAAACAACAAAGTTTTGAGTTTTAAACTGAATTGAGCACAAATACCAGAAGTTGCAGATAGACTAAAATAAAATTTGGAGATCCAAAGATAACCCAGCATCTGAACATCATCACAGTCCCTGGGATGTTTTCCTACAGACCTGTTCCAACAAGTCCTTGTATCAACGACCGTGGGGTCGGGTTGCCTCCTGGCGTGGCCAAGGCTTCAAGCCTCGTGACCCTCTTCCTGGCAGTCGAGTGGGGCAGTGTGCCCGGTGTCTTGGCCGGTGGATGCTCCGTCTCCGGAGGGCTCTTGCGTGGCTTCTTGGATGGGGGAGGCTCCTCCACTTCGTTATTTTGAATGACACCTTGGATCTAAACATAACAGAAATCATCCTCCATTCAAAATCAATTCCTAAATGTACCTACCAAAGTGTAATTTTTTGCAGCTTTCAAAGCATCACATTTTATTTTCATAATGCAAAAAAAATCTCAACAAGGACTTAACAAAAGAAGATAATTATAATTACATGTAAAGTTCTGCAAATCAATCATTCAAATCGGGCATTCCTACAGGTACTACATGAAGAAAGCTGAGCTGTAAGTGAGACATACACTTAGACATTTCACAATTGCTGATATAACAAGTCAGACTCCAGTGAAGTCCAACATGCATTAAGGAAAGACTGTCAGTGTGCTGACCGCAATGATCTTGAAATTGTCTCAGAGAGATTCCAATGCAAGCAAGTCCAGTTCGAAATGAAGTTGGAGGTTCATTCAAAACTGTGCGCAGTTCGGCACACATCCCTATTCTTTCATCGTACACTCACATGTACACTCTACAGTAATACTTTGTGTCATTTTCACCAAATCACTGGAGTCTTACAAGGTGCCCTGGGAAAGGTCATAAAACACACTGGAATATAGGATAAAATAAAACAGTCTGTTTTGTCTATAACCAAAAACACACACAAGTAAGACTGCATTAATTGGCCGATATTGGCTGATTCCATTAATTGATCGTTGCACTTTTGGCAGATCATAAGGCACAATTTGTTGATGCTTCTGTCTTCAACAAATCACCTTTTTCTTGCTGATTTGCATTTGTGAATGGAACACAGTTTTCTTTTAAATATGGGAAGTAAAGTGTAAGACTTCTACAGGATTGCCCATTGGATTCAATGTCTCAAAGCTCTTTGCAAAAGCTACAAAGGATACTTTTCTCATTATTATTGGCCTAAAGCCTGTGGTCCCTGTAGGACCATTTCGGCATACCAGGCTGCGAGGGGTGAGATCACTGATGGACTGTGCCCTCATCTTGTCATCCTTCCTGAGCGCTGCAACCCGGTTGCCGGTGTTGGACCGCCTTACCCTCACTCTGGATGTCGATGCGGCACTTTTGCTCACCGACGATGCCTCAATGAAGCCCTGGATCAGAGTGCGTGGAGTGACATCATCAGTTGCCATGACAACATCTAAATCCCATTTGCAACCACTTGAACCTTACTCACTGCAACAAAAATTGCCATAACAAAAAGGAGAAAAAATTAGCTCAAATTAAATAACGGTAATTTTGAAACTAGTTTCATTGCTTTGAGAAATCAGTCATGACAGTTGTGCACAGACCCTACATATAAATATCTTCCACCATGTAGGCCCCCCATGTAATGCAGTTTTTACACTTTTTCCACTGTCCCATTCACCACAGAATCAGGCACAATCGGTCCTGCTCAATCCTTGTGCAATTTGTCAATCTCAAGAGTCATGACTTTCCATGCTTTATGTCTTTCATGGTTTGGAAATCATGCTGTTACGCCCCAACTATTGCATCAGTCCCAACTATAGTTGGGCCCATCCCAACTATAGTTGGGCCCTTCCCAACTATAGTTGGGCCCGTCCCAACTATAGTTGGGCCCGTCCCAACTATAGTTGGGCCCGTCCCAACTAGAGTGCTACAGTTGGGCCGGCCCAACTACAGCAGAGAGGTCCTGTGTGCACGATGTGCCCAGCATGTGCCAAAGTCATATTGTTTACAAATGTCATGTCATTGGTCATAGGGCTAGATAAACCATGGAGGTAGATTCTACCTCCATGGATAAACAGATGAAGTGCCACATTTTAGATGAATTGTGTCACGTGTGAGACACATTGGCCTTGATAATGTTGAGACATTTCCCACAGACATTAGTCAACAATAGTAGGGCCAGCCCAACTGCAGCACTACAGTTGGGACTGTCCCAACTGTAGTTGGGACTTACGCTTTAGTTGGGGCGTAACAATGCCAATAATTCAGCCAATCACCTGATCACCTTTTCTTTCTAATTCAGTTGTGAAAACTGTTCCAATAAAGGAAGACGAAAATTTCATGTCTTGTCATGTAGGATCGCCTGATCGCACCCAACACACGCACAGTCCTGACAGTGTACCATCCGTCATCTAATCATGCACTCGTCATAAACTTACTCATGTACATGTAGGCCTAGGCCGCGCCTAATTACAGAAAGATTTAATGATTTACCATTTACGATTGGCAAATAGAAGCCCGTAAAAGGGACATAAAGGGATATCATTTCAGCTAATCAACTTCTTCTGAAATTTTAAGTGGAATTTATAGCATAATCTTACATGGCCAGCTGATGATGAGACAACGCCAGAAATTCTTGGGAAAATTAGAAATCCTAAATAAAATCTCAGGCTTCGCGGGAAACAGTGCATACACACGTCTCCACAACTGTAAATGTTACACAGCGCCCTCAAGTGACGTACTATAGTCCCAGGCTGACTGGGTTTCTGCGAAAGTCGTGCGAGATTTAACTCCTGAGACATTGAAATTCGAATGGTACGATTAAACTTCCGTAAGGTGTCAGTGTCATTGTCCTTACCAATATATTTTTCACGTGGACGGAAGCGTTTCTGAAGCTACGTATTTGCTGCGTAATACTGATAGGGTATTGAGGAATTTTACTTAAAATTTTAGAAATCACGAGTGGGCCTCACCACAGACCTGGAGAACACATGCTGGAGGCGAGGAGTTCCTCGTGCTCGCCCAGCTCCTGTGTATGTGTCATCTGAAACCTGCCCGACGATAGCGCCGCATATCATGCCCACCGCGTACGATGCGTCCCTGCAGCTGTGTATGTCACGTGTATTGAGGGCGCCTCTATGAACCCCACACAAGAAATGGGCTTTTATTAAAATCCAAAATCACAATATCAGTACTAGGGCCTATAGGCCTATACGTGATTGTGACAACAAAGTAGGATTTTGGATTTAAATTGTCTCAATCGAAATCCAGTTGAAATATTTGGTGGATGTGGCAATTTGAAACTCGATAGGCATAGCATCCGTCCCAACTGCAGTAGAGATAATCCTGACTGTAGTACTAGTTGGGCTGGCCCAACTACTCCTACTTTATGGACGTTAGTTGGCAAATTTTCAACCTCCTTTATTTTAATTACATAACTGTATGTTACATATCCGACATACAAAGAATACCAAAGTCTGTGGCAGCCTTTGTAAAAATGGGTCATATGTTAAACATTTTGAATCCATGGTGAGAATTATCGCTTGATCTGTGTGATTGGTCTATCATGGTATCGGCCAATCTTATTGTACAGTCTGTTCAATTTTCTCGCTATCAGCCAACATGGCCAATAAGCTTTTCTTTCAAATTCACAACAGTAGGCCTAAAATGTGATGTTTCCACCAGGATCAAGCAATAAAGTACCAGTATAATGATCACATATTAATTAATGCCCAACAGTCATACTTCAAGATTACAATGTAGGCTGCCACTTGTAACATTTACCTCAACATGTGTTGTACCTGTAGATCTGAACAGATGAAAGATCCAGTACTGAAGATGTGGATTTGTGAGAGGAGTCCGTGGTAAACGGGCCTCCCATTTTTTGTGCAAAATCTCACTTTATCTTATTTTTTTCAGATTTCAGACCAAGAGCAAGTGCATGGACTTTGACTCGGAAGACAGAAAAATGGAGCATAGCACTGAAATCCAGTTGCAAGGAGATATGGGTGAGGCCGTAGAGATTGAGGTGCGGGAATGCCCCGAGGGTTGGCCGTTCACTGAACAGGATGGATCCACCAAGGTACAGGCCCGACTGCAGGATGGCAGCTCTGACTTGACCATGGTCATTGTGGCTCCCAACCCAGAGAGGGAAGGTGGGCCAGAATATGACAATGCTGACCGGGCGCGCATTCCTTCTCATATCACCAGTAATTGTACTGATTCGACCAGTTTGTTTGACGTTGCCCTGTCAGACCGATTTGGCTATGTCTACAGCCTGGACCGGGCTGAGAAAGTGCGCAGGGACTACGAAATGCGGACCAATACTTCATACGTAGCAGTCAGCAACGTCAAACTAAACTTTGGCCAAACAGGTAAACTTGTTTGAAAAACAGGTGAATTTGTATATATTTGTAAGTTTGGTTAATAAAGTCAAAGCAAGGAAAAACAAAAGCTATCACTTTGCCACACACATCTCTGATTAATACCCATTTTGGTTATGTGACCCAAATCTCAGAACTAAGTCGTGAGAATCACCGCATTTATTGGGAGGAGCCTCAGCAGGACACGCCCCTCAAGAGTCCATCGAAAATTAACTTTGACGGTGTGCCTTTCATTTTACTGGCCAAGAGAGTTCTTGACTGCCAGCACGGCAGAGACTGGCGACGACGCAGCAAGGAAAAGGTCTGTTCTACAAAATGTTTTTGTTGCAGGGCAGATAAAAAGCCGAGCAAAATAACCTAGTTCACCCTCTTCATTTTCTTCCTAGCCACTGTTTTTAAAAATACTTTCTGTGGGATTTTACAGATGTTTTGACTTTTTGTGTGTTTCCATTGTCCTTGTTTTCCATTTTTCAATCTTTGAGAACCTGGCAAGAAAGTTTTACTACTTAGCTTAAGTATTACTATACTCTCTACTGAAATCCAGTAACGTTAAATGCACCGACTTTGCTGGATTTACTGATATCTGGAACTTTGAAAGGTTTAGTAGTTCCTTTATAATCAGCTGCTATCATGCTTTGCTATAATCCAATTTTGTTGGCGCCATTAAGTGACTTGATATGTGTTGAAAGAGCCCAAAGGATCTCCATAGATGGAGGAAATCTTTAAAGAATGATTGAACTTGAATCAGATATGACTTGACTAGTGACCATTTGCAGACGGGTGAGCCAAACAACATGTCCAAAAAAATCCACCTTGTGTTAGGCCACCTTGTCCTAAGGCTGAGTCAATTCGAATCAATACAGATTCAATATTTGACCTTCCATTCAATCAAATGTTCGGCTGTACCAAATTCCCACAAAAGCAGAAACTAAATATGGACACAAGCTTGAAGATTTACCTCATTGGGTTCCAGTACAGGATTATGTAACCTAGTTCCAAGAAGGAAATGAGGAGTCCAACCACTGCCAATTGATTTTCAGTTCTTTGTGGTGATTTATTCCTTTATTGCCAGAGAGATCATTATTTAGAACGTTAAAAACAAGATAAAGTCCTTTTGGTCTTATTGTTTGGCACATATACAGGTACATGTATCCATCAGCTGCTTTTAAGTTCAAGTTTACTCCTGACACCTTAAAACATGCTTTTAGAATACACTTGTGGAAGCAACGAGATGAATATTTCCCCTTTTCTAATTCAACGCTTTTCACCTCCTTTCAATTACGAAAATAAATATTCAGATATTTAGATAATCATTAGAATATCTGAATACATATATTTGAATAATCTGTAAAGCCTTTCCTACGTCACTTGCCAGTAGGAGAGTTCAGTGGGATTTAGTTTCGACCTTGCAGCTCCTTCCTTCGTCAGGGCGTCGACAATTAACTCCCCAAAATGGGTGAAGATGTTGACATCTCTTTTGTCTTCAGACAGAGAGAAAGCGAAGGAAGAAACCGTGCGGCCAGGAGACAAGAAAACTTGGATGTCTTGCAACCATTATCATGCGTGAACTTGTGTGCTTTCCAGAGTTTGAGGTAACTTTGTATATTCCTTGAGACGCAGTTTCGCATTTAGTTGGTGGTTTTGTAGGAATCCTTATGATTTTTCATGTATGGGACGGACTTGTTTTCATTAGAGCCCTGCAGATTCTAGATGAAATGGTTTTCTTTGATTTAACATTTTAGATTGATGAGAACTCTGAATACAAAAGAAAACTTACCTCGAAAAGGCTGAGGGTCGCACTGAAAGAGGGTGAGGTCAAAGGTCAGAAAAGGATCTACGTTGACCTCCCTGAGGTGTCCAGTCATAACCATCCTGTTGATCAGGTGAGTTGTTAACAATTAGTATTTGTACCATGCAGCATAAGTTGGGCATACAAAAACGAAAAAAAAAATCACCATTTGTATACCATTGTTTTGAAGTATGTAAAGGGTTGTGAGCATAATTTTACCAAACTTTTCTACTTGCATTGGAACGAAGCACATTTGTATTGTTCTGTAGGTTTGTTATTACCATTATCTTTTTTCAATTATTTTTGAACTGCATTTGATCATTTGTTCTTGAGCACAGTTCTCTCTTCACATCAGTTAACACTGTCTCGTCGTCCCACGCAGGACACGCGCGTGACACATCAAGCCCTCGATGAGCGGGTCCTGAAAAAGCTACAGGAACTTGTAGGAGGCGGAGTTTTGGGCGTTGAAGAAATGAGGTTACACCTCCAGAACTACGTCAAGAATGAGATCTGCTTTGGTCAGCCTTCCATACCTCTCACAAACAGGCGGTTCTTTCCAAGCAAGTTCACCATCAGGTAAGGGACAAATACAGCATGCTTCGGCTTTGTGTCTCAGTCACTGGCAAGGGTGGATCCAGATCCCCCTTTTCCTTGGGGGGGGGGGGAATCCTATATTTAGGGTCCACATACTCTGGAAATTGTTTGTGTGTAATCTTTTATGGCCTTTCTGAGGGCAGAGGCTACATTTTGGAATGATTTTTATTTGCTTTAAGAAGGAGGGAATGTGAAACAAACCGAAACATTGCCTGCCTTTCGTTGTCTTTTCAAAACCCTTTTTTTTTTTCAATCTCCTTTTCAGGGGGCCACAGCTCTATGCCCCCCTTCCAAATCTGCCCTTGGGGGCCAGAACCATTCCTAAACATTTTAGTGCTCGGACCAGACAAAAATTGTCCCATGTTTGGCTTCATTTCATGTTACTAGCTTGGTGTGCAACAAAACACTTGACTCATATTGAGCTGGAACCTATAAAGGGAAAAACAAGGGAGGATGTTTATTTCAATCTGAATATCTTAAAATAGCATCTGGGCCAAAAATTGTGTGCTAATTCTGTAACTGCGTTTCCTATCTGTCCTCACATTAGGAAGTTTTTAAATCTCACTCCATTTAAACAATTTGCAATACATAAGCCAAGTTGGCCCAATTTTTTATATTTAAGTTCATTTTATCTTTACTGACTACATTGGACTATAGTAGGATGTTAGTTTTGGACTCGCATTTATATTTCTTAGTTGCCATTCTTGTGAATACAGGCAATCCATTTTATTTTGCTGGATTCATTTTTTTTATTCAAGAACTCACATACGCAGATGCTGTGCACCAAAGAAGCATTTACAGCAAGAAGAAAACCAGGTAAATTTGTAAGAAATCCTCCAAATTCTTTTTAAAAAAAGCTCATCAACAGGTTTCTTCCTGCTTAGTTTCCCAATTCATTGTATGAGACTAAGCCACTTTGTTGCATTCCATTGGCTGTCTTTTTTAAACTAAACCCCCATTGTTTGGTTTAGCTTTACCCAATTAATGAACAGATGCAGGAATTTTCTGGCTGTTCGGCGTGTAGTTTTTCCTTGTCTGTTCATCTCTAACCCTGTGTGTTTCGCTGTTTGTGTGGTGCTGTCTTTTCCCACCAGTCAACTCTGCATAATCATTCCATCCATGCTGTTCACCCAAAGTTGTCCCACATGTACGTGTAGTGCGGTTTCTTTCATCATGAACATCACAACCTCAGTGGCTTCTTCAGGCGAGTTCGTACTTGGTGCAAAAGCAAAGACTACCATAAATTGGTGATGTCAGATCACCTATTCACGCTGCACATTTGCAAATGCTTTGTGACATCTAATCCTCTCTGCTGTCACTTTTACCTTCAGTTTGAACCGGGCTTTAGTCCTTCATAATGGCATAGTTTGACATTTATCAATTGTTTTCTTCAGATTTCTTCAGTTATTAAGAAACCAAAAAGCTGTTATCTAGTACCCCTGGGCAAAGATGATGACAAAGTGGCACAGTGTTCTTGTGGCAATGTGGTTTCAGGTTCATCTAACAATGTATGAGCAGTGCCCTTTTCACTCATAACACTAAAATTTTACAACAGAGAGATTTCAGTTGACTTCGAAAGTAGAGAATACTGAAAAATCTGGCAGTTTATATTGGACATTACATGAAAGGAGTGTGTCAAAATATTTTACAGTAAAGCACTAACATGTTAGGCTCCCAGATGAGGTCAGAGGTCACACAGTTTTAAAGGAAGTTTTTTGATTGACACACATAAACCAGATGCCCGCATAACATCATATCACTTACAGTCAGAGGTATAAGTTGTAGGTTTGTGAGAATTGTTTTTGTACCAAACAAATTGTGATAGTTTTTAATAATGATGCTGTGAAGTTCTGGTCATTCCTCAGCGTTTAGGAAGATCGCAATATGAAATCAGAACAGATCATGACCGATGAAAGATTCAAACCAGGTACCTTTAGCAGTGCAACATCAAGGGTTTTTTGGGGTTGGGGAGAATTTCTCAGATATAATTTTTCCAATTTTTGCACCCCCTGCCCCAAGGAAGGTACAGTATTCAAAATAAGAAAAGGTGCCTTTTGGGGGGGGGGGAAGACCCAGGCTCATCTTCCCCCTTGGTGGCATATGCCACTGACCTGGAGACTTTGATTCAGTTTTACAAAGTTAAAACTTTGCTTGGATTTGACCTCTGATAGTAAATTAGTTGTGCCATATACAATTACAGTGTAGCCGTCATTGGTGTCATGGGTCTTTGGGATGGGGGCACCATCCTTTAAAATGGACAGTTAAAAAAAATTTAAAATAAAAGAAGTGAATAAGAAAAGTTGACCTTTTCCACTGCTGATGATTGCCCTGTTCCCGCCCTCAATAGCCCTTTTCCCTTTCTAGCAACGCCCGCGATAGATACTTCAATATTGTTGATAAAATGAGACATTACAATAGAGAGTAAAAGCCGCCTTTCCATAATTACGCGCGCGTCAAAATCGCTTCCGGGGCGATCTTGATAACTGAACGTAACGCACACGTGTGTTACGTTTAGGGGCGATTTTTGAGTCCGTGGAAGTGAAACGCGCGATGAACGCATCGTGTAATAACGCACCCCTGAAAATGTACACTTGGAAAGGCGCCTTAATGGTTTGGTTATTTTCAGCAATCCAATTTTAATTGGTCGCGACATGACCTATTTGAAATTGTAAGAGTGTATTTTTCATCGAACGTTGTCACGTTACCATCTAAGATTAATTTTTAAAAGCGGCCGCTGTCCCAGCGGAATTTCAGGCTTTTATAATCAAATCGTTTTTTAAGTAACATTATTATGAAATAATAAAGTGGAGGTGTCCTTTCCCCGAGATTGATAGAACTGTGAGCTAAATAACCGTGGTCTTTGTGATCTCTGTCTGTTGAATACCTTATTCTTTCAGTACCTGTGCCAAAAAGTCTTTGATTTCGTTTTTCATGAGCAGTGCTAGTTGACCGTGCCAGTGATGAAGTATGGGGAGCAGTGGAACGCTTTTTCCAGCCAGAGGAAGTCCGTGTTCAAACAAATAAACAAAAACACCCAGTTCTGTTTAGTCCCTGCAGTAAACAAACTCCAATAGCTTATTATAAGCGAATTATAATCAGCGTCTATGTCGCTAGTCTTGGTGGTGTCGCATGCGGACGCAAATTGACGTCGCAAGGGCACGCAGCGAATTGTTGCCGGCTGAGTTGTGTTTACTGGTGGCGCTTGTTTTGCCGCCTACATTCTCATGCTTTCGCGCCACTTCGCAACGATTACATCACTACCCGGCTGATTGTCGTCTGTTCAGTTATAATAGGATGACGATCAGTGTTTCTCCAGGCGTTGTATAAAGCATGTAATAAATGTCTTCGAAGTTTCAAAGTGTTATCCTTGCAACAGAAAAAAAATTATCAGTGGTTAAAGACATGCAAGCATTCGATCGTCTTTGCAACGGCAAATTGAACCGTCTATCATTCTATCACCCCACGAAATTGTTCAACATAAGCGTCAGTGGCGTATCAAGGCCTTGGGTCTAGAACGGGGCAGGGAGCAAGATAATTTGTCCAGAGACGACGGTCCAATTATTTTTTTTCGGCCGTAACAGACCCCTCCCCCATCAAGTGGTACCGGTAGTACCGTTTTTAAGACGCTAATGCTTTAAATTCCATGAAGTAACATGATTTTATTAACGGGCAACATGTCCCAAGGGGCAACTGCCCCCTCCCCCAGCGTCGGAAGCCGGGAGTGTGGGGGGGGGCAGTGGTACCCACTTTCTCAACTGGTGTGTGCTCTCCACACTTTATGCAGGAATAGATTGGCAATTACGATGTGATGGCTGAGGGTCTCACAATTATAGTCTGCCCCCTCCCCTTTGAAAGTCGTGCATGCGTCGGGTCAAGTGTTCCTAGCTGCAAGAGATATGCTGCCAGAACTCCTTCGTCTTTAATTTAATCTATGTCTAAGTTATGATGAAATCCGTTTCCTAGTATCAACTGAAAACACCATTAGTAAACGTCAGCTGCATAAGCTTCGTGGGCTGGAACTGTTTCGGTGAAAGGAATATTTGGACATCTTGGATGTAGCTGGAGGAGTCTGGGCTCTTTCGTGGATGTGGATGATTTGAAAATATATATATATATCGTAGAAACAAACCTTGGAAAGAAATATATTTCGTAAAAACGAACTTGAAAAAAACATACTTCACTTTTTCCAAAAAATATACTCGATAGTACTGCGGGGCTTTCGTTTGGACATCACTAAATGTTTGCGGCGAGATTCGCTTGAGTTGCAATGTGTTCATCGTTTACATCTGATTTCACTCGTTGTTTGGTGGTGTTAGTCATTTGGAGTCATTATGTTTTTGGTTTTTTTTTAATTAATCTGTTTTGTGCGGGTTATCAAGGACCCTTCCAAAACCTTGAAGTCAACTTTACATATAGAAGTTTGTAGAAGTTAGGAACTACCCGGACCCCTAAATTACACGTGGGACGTTCATGAGGGCCAGTAAAAGGGATTAGATCTGGTACACCGATTGGACTGCAATCGAGCTGCATGAAAATTTGACGTTAAGTTTTTTCAATCATCGTAAGAAGCGTAGGCCAACCCCAAATTAGTTGCGCTAATTTCAACTTGCGGGAGAGTTTATGAGTTTATTTAAGCTCTAAAGACAGCAGTTGATCGAAGATGTACAATCTTCAGTCTTGCACCCCTCCTAACTAGTGGCGTCGTTGCTGTCATCAAGGGCGTATCATCAAAGAGCTCCCGATCGCAAAAGCATAGCCGGCAGCAAAACGCATCAAGTCGAGCATGATTCTAGCGAGGGGGGAATTAAAAACTTCAAACATTAATTATTAAGTCTTGTTAATAGCCGCCGCAATATTGCACTGATTCTGGGGACACGGCTTTGTTCTGTGTGTGTGATGCATTCGTCAGCCAGTTTCGGAATACGGTGCCGTGTTGACGCCCATGAGCATGCTATGGGTCACTTGGATAGGTCTCCACAAGGAATTTCTAAAGGTATATATAGGTCTCCAGAAGGATTTCACGAAACTGTTACATGTTTTTGGAAATCGCTCAAAAAGGAGAAATTTTTAATGTGTAAAAGTCTGACGCAAATTGAAATGTTTCATATAAAGGGATATTCGGTCAAAACTTCAGCCCAGGATGAGTTGAAATGATTTTGAAAACATATTGTTTCCGCACCCGACCGCGTGTCAGTACTGGAGTGGTACTCACAGTTCTCCATTGCAGAAGACGAGAACATATTTATTGAATGAAATACAAATATTCAGTGAAATTGAAACTCAGGCATGAAAAAGACTTTAACTTTTAGTTGGGGAAAAAAATACCACTTATTTTCATCTAGAGTTAAACCGTCTTAACCAGTAAAAACTTGAGTAAATTGCATTTTCCATCGGACAGACTGGTACCTTTTGATCTCATGGCTTTGATGCGTAGTTTTGTATTGAGACTTCTTGTGATCAAACAATTGGTCAGAGGTCAGACGGAATTTACTGGCTCTTCGGCTAACCGCCAAACCCTGCGGAACTTTCAAGGAATTCGACATCTTGTGAGCTGTGTTTCTCACACTTTTTGTGCACAATTTTTATTGCAGTCAATAAATTGTAAAAATACAAAGTACTCTGTTCAATTATGGATAGTTTTTAGGGTGGGTTCTGGGGATTTGGGTGAATCCATGTCCGGCCGTGATCATGATGGTGATGAGCAAACATGGCAAAACCAACGGTGCAGCGTGCATTTGCATGTCATTACGCACAGAGATGATTGTCTTAGTACGGAGGGCCAGAGAGGGGGTTAGGCCTATGTCACGCCTCCACTCCAGCCATCTTTTCATTGGAAGTGGTCCCAACTATGCTTGGCCAAAACATTAGTTTCAACTGTGACAGAGTACTGAGTAGTTAGAAAATACATGTAGGCCTAGGCAGAGTAGTCCGATCATCATGATCATCATCATGCATTTCTTGGTCTAGATGACGGACATCACCATGATCACTTAACACCTCATACATGTCAAAGTAACATGAAAGTTATGCAGGTGTGCACAAGCCTGATGGGTTTCGAGTCAACTCGGACCCATGCCAACTCGGACCCAATACTAACCCAGACCCTTGACCAACTCGGACCCACAACCAACTCGGACCTACGACCAACTCGGACCCACCCTAAGTCAACTTGGACCCAACCCCAGGAGCGTGATTAACTTGTTGAAAATTTTGCTTTTGTCCACTTTTACATTTAAGCATTTGGTAAATGACACTTTTGCACTGCATGTAACGTCTTCTCTACACATAATGCAGGGAAACAGTGGCACAGGCTTCCCAGAATTTCTCAGTTTTCAAGTTTGAACAGGCATGGTGGTTGAAAACCGTACAGGACTAGATTTGATATCAGTGATGTCTTGGAACAAGTGAAAAGTAACCGGCGAGCGTCGTATTTTTATGGAGGCACATTTCCTTTGATGTCTTATTTGCCGCTTGTAATCTGGAATTTTAATCAGTTATTAGCTTCCGAGATACCGACGTGATTGACCACAAAGACTGATTTTGTCACCTTCCATTCTTTAAACCCTATGAACGGGGAGTGGGAGCTTGGGACAACCAATGGGAGCAGCTTTTGGAGTGTGATTGACAGTACCAAATCATTGACGCCCTTTCTTCGAAGTGTTTTTGGCACTCCAGATCACCAGAAGAAATCGAATGAACTTTCACCAAACAGCCCCCAAAATTTTAGTGGCAATAAAAAGCCACTGATAGGCCCTTCTGATGTACATAAGATATGCTGCATGCGTACAACACATACTGCAGATATACATGTACATCAATGTCACGAACATTGACCTTTTATAGTGTCTCATGGTGTTATCCCCAGTGGGTCCGAATTGACTTGAGGTGGGTCCGAGTTGGCGTGGGTCCAAGTTGGTTGTGGGTCCGAGATGGTCGTGGGTCCGAGATAGTATTGGGTCCGAGTTGGCGTGGGTCCGAGTTGGTCCTGGGACCGAGTTGGCATGGGTCCGAGTTGACCTGATCCCGCCTGATGATAGGCCTATGTCGAAGCATCGTCGGAGCATAGTCTGAGATTGGTCTGAAAAATTTTAAGTACATATAGCATGTGTAGGAAGAGTTTCCATACACAGACATTACTGGATACCCTGTCATGCCTGTGCACAACCCTGCCCTACGACTCATGAGACTGATGTGAAAAATGAAGTGTTTTTAATGTAAATGCTTCAATATCTTTCCTCTTAATCTGACTTTTTGTCATCCTCCATGATGTGACTTTTCAGGGTGTTATCAATATCACCTTATGATATCTAACAAACTAGGCCTAAAAGTAAAGGAAAATAAGTCATGTAAGTAATGTCTGTCGTGTCTGTATATGGACCTTTTAGTCTTACCTCTAAGTATACGTATGTATTTCATAACCGAATGCAGTATTTTTTTGATAAGTTTGAATTTAGGACATGTTATGCTGTTGCTTTTTAGAGACAGTTTATCATGCTATGGCTCCATAGGCAACATGTACATGTATAGCCTAGGAGCTCTTACCAAATAGGCTAGTTAGGACAACTAGCCACAAGAGTAGGGAGTCGAAGATCAATCATCAGTCACAAGATGCAATTCAAAGTGAGATTTTGGACTTTGTTCCCATTAAAAGACATCTTCCAGAGTGGTGAATTTCAGAAAGGACATGAAAATATGTCTCAAAATTTAAGGTCACATTTAAGTCAATAAAAAGATAAAATTGCAAAATTCTGTGGAAAAAATTGAGACTACCTATCAAAAATTGAACAGAATTTATGCAAGACCTATAATGATGAAATAATGTACATTTGTGTAGGTACATTTCAAAGAGAAAATGATATGTCCTGCCGTTAGAATTAGAATGGGAAAAAAAAATGTTGAGAATTTTGAAGGAATATGTACCTTGTTTACAGGGTAACTACAGTAAGTTTGTCAAGTAATCCACCAGTGTTACTTGAATCAAATGTCCATGGTGTGAGGACTTATTTATTAGCACAATTAGAACTGGCCTACAGTGTGTAAGTATGCATAGTTATGACCATATCTTAAGTTGTGTTCAGTGGGTTATGACTGATCCCAGCATGGAGGAAGGGCATACATGTAGGAGTTCGAACTGCTCTGGCCAATTACCGCTTTCTGGCATGCCCGGTATGTCCATTGCCAGAGTTCAGTGAATGCTTACTACGCACCACCTGTTTCACAACCATAAGCCCCCTTTCTACCCCGTGATCATCGCTGCAATTTTTTGCTGGTTATCTGCATCCTTAAAACGTTGTGTACTGCAGTAGAGGAAGTTGAATATTCATGCCGTCATTGGTGCTTAGTATTATCTGACAACAACATGAAATTTAAAGTGCAGTTGCTTAACTGTCTTGTGGTGGTCAATATGTTGTTTGCCAGTCTTAGCCTAATTTGTACAAAGACTTTGAAAACTGATGCTTTGGAGGGACAAAATAAAATTACAAACATTGCATGGATAATGGAAAAGTCCATCAAAATCTTTGAAAAGTTATTTACAACAGCAACAGTAAATCTAATGATAGATATTTTTCTACTTCCTGGTCACTGCGATAAGTTGTAGTTAATTGCAAAGAATGCACTGTAAATATTGCTAGGATATTACTGGCCCCACTTGTCCGGCTAAGCTGCAGGCAGTAATCAGGCATTTTGGGAATGTTTTTTAGCGTTTGTCTGACCAGGTGGCAATGATCATTTAGCACTTTGACGTGCCAGAGTTCTAATTCCTGTGTCTTTCCTCCATGATCCCAGTAACTACATGTAGGATTCTGCTCCTCTTTTTTTTGACATTTGGATGTGATCGGGCTGTTGTTTACTGTCACTCAATCATGTCCAAAGCTCAAAAAGTCATTTAGATTCCAACATTTGGTGTTTGCGAGTCTACCTGCATCCATGAGACAATTAAAAAAGTGTTTGATTAAAATAGTAAGAACGGTTGAGCGAACCAGTCAGTTTGATTCTGGATAGCATCAGATCTGTGGTCATGACTATTATTTGAAATAGTACATATTGCCATTATACGGCACCTGTGTCATACACAGTACAAATGTACACACAGCACATGTACACATACTGAAGTGTTCATAAAGAATGTTATCATCACAAATTGAGGTGTTTGAAACCCACGCAAACCAGAAATCCGGTAAAATGCTCTTTATCTGTCCGTTTTCATCTTCAAGGTCGGAAGACAACTGCTGTTGCCGGCAGTAACAATGGCTATGGATCAGATTGATGTAAGTACACACAGCTTCAACACACTCAGTTATACCTACATATACCTTACTACATGTACATGTATCTACAGTTGTAAATCTGTGAGTGTAAAATCAATGTTTTTGTTCTGCTGCAAAGTTCAATGACATGGGTTTCCCCTTTCTCCTTTGCTGACAAATAATCGTTGAATCCATGAATGTGTTATTTGATAATTTGCATTAAAACGACTAACCTCACCCACCCTGCACTGTAGGTCTACATGTACATGTACGTTTGTTCTTCCAAAAGAAAACATTGTTGATGTTTCAGTCTACATGATTCCTGAAGATTGATCATGTAATCCTAAACGAATAATGAGCGCAGGATCGTCTTGTTCATAATTTGAAGTTTTGAACCTCAGCATGTCAACAAAGTCTGAAAGTTCACAACTCTTCATGTACATGTACATGTATATAGAGCTACAGTCATTTGCAAAAGTTAAGGACCACCCATAAAAATGCATTAACCTGAAGGAAAACCAAACTTAAACTAATCAATCGTGGCAACTTGTGTTTATTTTCAGTGTGTAACCTTACATGCAGTACCTTGGTTGAACATTTTTGACTACATTTCCATGATTTGACATGTTAACAGTCTAATATTCATTGTTCCCTCCTGTATTTCTGGTTGCTAAGACTGGCTTTTTTTTTTACCCATGCTGCCTTACAGACAAAATGTCATACAAGACCTGCCTTTGCAAAAAGATTTATTCAAATGGGTATATAGCACTACATTGATGTTATGCACCACTGTAAAACATGATAAGTAATCATTCAGTGAGACAGTGTAATGCAGCCCAGTGACAGAAATACCAATCAAATTCCAAGTGGTCTTAAACTTTTGCAAATGACTGTATTGAAAACAGGAGAAGTTTTGGCTTGGACATGTCTGTTGGACCCAAACACAGATATTCACATATGCCAAGATAAAGTTGTGCATTCTGTCATGTCTGTTTGCTGATGTTACATCACAGCCCATATTCAAGCATTCAGACTACATTTTTCTTCATGGTTTCATTGAATGTAGTTACCGCAGGCCCAGAATATTGGTCAAGCCTTCTGCACGCAGTACTACAATACATTTGACATGGACCGCAAACTTCTTGCACCCCTATTCACTGTAAGTACCTGCAGAAAATTTTCCCCACTGACAGATAGTAAAACTTAAGGTATATAGCACCAACTCTCATTCAAAGCTCCCCTTTGCATCAAACTTTGACTGCTGCAATTTGGGAGATGATTTTTTTCACGACTGAGAGTGTAATGCATCTCCGAGGGTGATATATCCCTTATCACAGTAGTCCCTGATTGCTATCCGGTTTGTGACTTCATCATAGACGCAGACTTGCCATGATTTGCAGGCTTCCATTAGGTGATCACTGAAATGATGTCGTCCGTGTAAAAGGCCATTAGTGCATGTAACTCTTATGTGCAGTGCATGTATAGTGGACGTTGGTTAAACTGAACTGACGTCACACTTACGAACCAGATTGGTACATGTATATCCCTGTCTTGAGTTCTTTGTAACAGTTTCTTCTCCTGAAAATCTGCAATAAACATTCAAATGAAAATCACGGCAAACGGGTCATGTTTTCATAAACTTGTAAAACGACCTCTCTGTGGCAACCTCTTGGTGGCGTGCTGTATTATGAATTGCCCGTATTCCACTTGACCTTTGACACGGCTTAATTTCCATTTTCCATTTGTACAGGATGTATCTATCATGTCGTTTGAAGGAGACGTAAAGGTTGGAGTGAATGACATCATACAGAAACTAACGGTATGTGGACCGGACACGTCGTGACCCAATACACAATCTGCCAAAGTTCCGTAAGATACACAGCTTTGGATGCGCACTAGATTTGTCTTGTGTGTTCCGGTATCGATGAACGATGTGGCAACATGCACTTTGACTTTTGAGAAAGAACAACTAAAACAGTACCTGGGCTCATTACGGTCCAACAGCTAGTGAGCACTATTGTATTTAATTGGGAGGGGGGTTTGCTTGGAACTTGATACCCATTTCTGTATCAACAAAGTGCACTGTACATCCTTATAGACAACCTATTTGAATGATTCCTTCCAAGCCATGTGTACATGTAGCTGACATAATGAAACCCAAAATTGTTGACATGAGATACCGGTATCTTGATCTTGGGCTATGCGTCTGAAGAGAGTTATACCGTGAGTTCTAACTAGGTCAACAAGTCAACTACCAGGCCGCGAATTTCATTTTGTTTTAGGGCACTGCCATTTGGCATTGGTGGACTGGCTAAAATAAAGGGCGCTATTGCCAAACATGAGGGCATTAATGCCATCAGTATACCCAAGTTATGGGCATT